TGTCTACTAGCTAACTTTTATTAAAAAGATCGACAATAAAATATTACACATACTTTGGGTGTTGACATTGTTTGTGAAACCGTTGTTGAAGGACTACCTCCCCAAATATTATCAAATAAAGGTGTCTACTAGCTAAATTTTATTAAAAAGATCGATAATAAAATATTACACATACTTTGGGTGTTGACATTGTTTGTGAAACCGTTGTTGACGGATTATCTCCCCAAACATCATCAAACAAAGGCGTCTACTAGTTAATTTGTATTTAAAAAACCGACAATAAAATATCATACGTACTTTAGACGCTTGTGCTGGTTGAGGAACAGGTTCTGCAGATATTATCGGTGGCTGTGATGTAACAACAGGACTAGATGTCGATGATGATTGCTGAAAAAAAATTTGTATAAATACAATAGATTTCATTTATCATTACTTGTATTGAAAGAGTTGATGTATCTGGTAAAGCAGACGTAGATATTGTTTGATTTGTTTGTGTTTCAGTCTTTTCGGAATTCTTAATTCGTTGATAAACTATTTCAAACAGTTCTTTCAATGCAAGAACTGTTACTACTGCTGATCTTTCAGTTCTAATAGCCCAAAATTGATGACGATCATCACTTGTATTATAAATATATCCAAATGCACGTGAATCACTCGGATCCATAGTAACAAATGATATACGTACAAGTTCATGTTTAGCAATTTCAACCTAATAAAATAGTAATTTAATTTAGAAAAAATAAAATAAAATAAAATAAAATAAAAGTTTTCATTCATACTTTAGTAAGTTCATCAACAATTTTAATACCATTCATAGTTAAAATTAATTGAATTTTTTGTTTATGTTCACCACGAGCACGTACAACAACTTTAAGTTTAAACATTGACTCAAGACATACGCGTTCATCACGATCAATTGGTAAATATTCCATTCCTTTATGTCAAATGAAAACTAATTATATCTTCAAATTTTCCTTTTTTTTTTTTTGTAATTTTCATACCAATAATTTTGCATTTAAATTGAATTCCATTACCTTCAAATTTATTTGAATTCATTCCTTAAAAAAAAAGTCTCAAGATTTCGATCAAATATATTTTAGCAAACCCTTTGCTTCTTCGTTTATTTCTAAAATTTTCCGATAATTTGCACCAAATGCTAGATGAATCAAAAATAAATTTAATATAGAATAAAACAAATACTTAAAAAAAAAATACTTATACCCATCTACGTAGATCATAGATAATAAATAATGATAAGAACTTTTTCATTTAAAGATATATACAAACGTAAAATAGATAAAGAAAGAAAAGATAACTACTCTTAAGAATATTTTATTAACACATTCTTTCGTTTTTTTTTTTGTTATGTTCTACTATCTACAAATGAATATGACAACAACAAGAGTTTCTCATAAGATTATGATTATGATTAACATTTTGTAGATTTCCTTGAAATGTATATCCAACTGTTGTTGTAGAATTATTGTCTACTAATTCTAATTGATTGTCATTTTCAACAAATTTCTTTTGTCGAAAACATTGATAAAAATTTTGTTTTGATTTTATAAAAAAACGTTTTAATTCACGACGAAATTTTGAATCCAACACAATATAAATATAAAAATTCATTGCAAATGATATATGATATATAAAAAGTGCATAATGTTCTAATTGTTTAATTAATTGTGAATTTTTATTTTGTTGACGATTATTTAATAAACGCCATGTATGTATAGATGCATATGGTGCACATATAATTAAATATGATGTTGAAATAGTTAATAATAATTTTGTTATTTTACGTGATGCATTACGACGTATTAATTCACGTCGTCTATTTAAATGTGAATGAGTTCGAAATAGAAATTCATGTTGATCATGTTTCATACGACGTAATGATATAAGAATAATTGTATTCATTGTTATTATAATAATATATGGTATAAGAAAAACAATAATACTATCAATTATATCCATATATTTATTTATCCAACGAAATTCTGGACGAGAAAAACATTTTCCATTAACAATACCAATTAAAAATGGTAAATATGAATATATTAAACAAGCAAATATTATTATTGATAATGATAAAAATCGTGAACGATACCATGAAAGAACATGTGATACACGAAATGGATTAATAACTGCAAATAAACGTTGAGCAGTAAATGCTATTGTATAATAAGCATTAATAAAATTACAAACATATGTTAAATATAATGTAAGTTGGCAAATAACTGGACGATGTAAAACATTAATATAATTTGATAACCATAAACAAAATAATATAATTAAATACATTGTATCTGATATAGCCATATAAAATAAAAATGGATAAACAGACATATTTGAATTAATCGAACCAATTTTTGTACGAAATGCTCGTTGACAAAAAATAATAATAACAAATGTATTACCAATTGAACCAATTACAGTAAGTAATAATAAATAAATATGATTGAAAAAAAAATTTAAACGATCAAGAAAACAATAAGATAATGGAATAGTTAAATTATTCATTGAAGAATTTGTTATTGGAATCATTATTTAAAAAAGAAAAAAAAGTCTAGAATAAATACAGAACGTCATTTAGGAAAATATTAACTTATGAAGACTTTCATTTTTTCTTTTATTTGTAACACACTTCAAGTTTTCTTTGTTCTCTCGTTGCAGGATATATAGAGAATGATAGAAAAAAAAATATATATCTCATTAAAATACTTTATAAAAATTATCCTAGAAACTCTTATTAATTAGAGATAACGTGATGAAATATC